ATTATGTCCTGGAAAAATTAGTCAACTTACTATTTTAGCTTAATAATTTGCTTTTCAGCCGTGTTCATTATACTTTTAAATTGTTTACCTTTTTAAAGGATACATTGTTTTGCTGTGTCTCTCTGAAAATGTTACGTATATATATTCTAAATACTTCTGTTTGTTCTATCAAGTCTTTTCACCAGATGATAGTTCTTCTGCTTGTTGAATTTGGTGCCTCTTATTGTGCTAGTTTTTCTTAAGTAGAGATGACACTTTATCTGATGCTTGTTTTGGTGTTTAAGAATTCTTATTTGCCTAGGTATTCAGTGATTGTAGAAGGGGCACGGAATGAGTTGCCAGGACCAGTAGCTTGAGTTCTTGCTGTGTGCTCTCCCCACCTCTCTACATTGAATCATTGCTCTTCCATTCAGCTCTTATTACCCACCATAATACTTTCTCCTATAGACAATATTGCTGCTTCTTACCTATTAATCCAATAAAAGGAGGACAAAGAGATCTAGCTTCCTAGTTAATCACCCTGAGTATCAACTTCCTGTAGTTATTGACTCTCAGCTTGAAGCTCCCCTACAGTTAGCTTATGTCCACACCAGTCTTCTCTACAAATGTTTTAGAGCTATGGTTTCCTATGGTCTTATTTCTCCATTGATCAGATCTTATTTATGTTCTATCTCTTGTGATCCTTCAATATTTCTGATTAATTGATGACACTCTTGATTGTCTTTCTAGTCATTTATAAATTTATTTTTTTATTAAATATCTATTTTTTGTCATTTAAATAGATCACTTAAATATCTAGTTTTGTCATAACTGAGGGCGTACATCAACAAATTCAACAAGACTATTAGATGAGTGGTAGACTACATACGAGTGCTGAGTCTGACATCTTTTTTCAACCTCCCTCTAATTTCTTAATAAGAAAAATTAAATTTAGCTATCTTCACTTTGTGTTTCTAATACTTCAAAGAACTGTTTATAATACAGTCACCCTTTCCAAGGAAAAAGAAAACACAAACATATTTTTTTTTTTTTTAAAGATTTTATTTTATTTATTTTCTCCCCCCAAAGCCCCAGTAGATAGTTGTATGTCATAGCTGCACATCCTTCTAGTTGCTGTATGTGGGACTCGGCCTCAGGATGGACGGAGAAGTGGTGCCTTGGTGCGCGCCCGGGATCCGAACCCCGGACCACCAGCATCGGAGCGCGTGCACTTAACCACCAAGCCATGAGGCCAGCCCACAAACATATTTTTTTATTCTGAGTTAAACCCTGGTAAGAGAAATATCTGCTTCCCAAAAGGAAATAAGGATATAAAATAAAATATTAGGTGAGAACAGAAATGTCAATGTAGGCACAAATGAATAACTGGTGTTTGATAATGATTCTTTCTTTCTCTACAAATTCATGATTCAATTTGCTACTGAGGGGGCATGTAGTTAAATAAAATAAGAAGGAATACGCTTCCAAATTTGGTAGTATTTTTTACAATGGGCCATAAATATGTTCTCTTCAATTCCTTACAAACACCAACACTTGCAGCATGGTTTCTGGAGAAAAGGATTGGTTTTAGAACTGGGTACAATCCCCAATTTGTCCACTCAAATTTTCTGACTTTCCATTGATTTGTCTATAAAAGTTGGATAAAAATATCTATAGTACTTGGAAAATTAAAAAATACCCTACAGGTTTAAATATGGAAAAAGAAACATAGTCACATTACAGAAAAAACAAAGCCATTCTTATGGCTGCATTTTTAGATTTTGCTCAAACCTCCTATACCTTACCCCCAAAAATGATTGCGCCCTCCTGGTCTGGGGTTCACTTTCACATCTGGCCATTTGTGTCAGGAAGAAAAATAAAGATAATGAGTAGGCCAAATGACAAGTTAAATTAACAGGTGGATAAACATATGTCCTATTACAATGCCTGTTTTTGCAATATCTAGTCCAGTTTCATTTTCCGGTATAGTTAAAATGCTGTGGGAGGCTTACCTGAGACTAGAGGACACTGACCTTTGGAAAGTGTTGACTGTTCCTGAAGAAACCTCACTGGTGCTCAAAGGAATGGGGTGGAGTGAAAATACACCCATGCAGAGGCAGGAAGCCTCACAGATGCAGAGGAAGAGGAGGACAATGACCCCAAAGCCAGGCACCTCTTCTCTGGACCAGATCTTGAATTCTAAGTAAGTTTCCAAGCTCAGTTGACCCTCTCAGGAACACGTAGACTGCTGAGTTTGTGTTTCAGATCTGGGTTAGTGCTCACACCACCCACAAAGAAATGGCTCTGGGAGGATAAACTGGCCCATCGCTTTGGCAGGGAGGTTTCAAGTACCTAATTTATAAAAAGTTCTATTGAATGTGAAGATCATTCCCTAGCAGGAAGTCTTTGCTGATCCTGCAAAATGGGTTAGAATCCTGTATCTTGCCCTCAGAGCATTTATCTCAATGAAGAGCTGGCTGTCCATTTCCTCATAGGTAGAAATTCTGGATCTCTGAGCCAGGACCCAAAGAGGCTGGGCAGGATGGAGTATTTTCCCACCTTCCCTCAGGGGCCATGATGACACATCTTTATGAGGCATCAATGATGGGAAGCCCCAGGTGTTTTTCTCAAGTCAATGTCAAGTTCCTTATGATGAGTGGACACTCCTCCATAGCCTGGAAATCTGTTGGCCTTAGTTTTCCATGTGGTGGGTTATGTTTTTTGTCTTCACTGGTGTTTTAGAGGAAAGCTAGGATAAGCTGAGGCAGATGCCAGCCTGAGATCACTCTGAAGTGACTGCTGGGAGGGCAGATGAAGCCAGAGGCTGACCAGAAAGTTCAAGTCACTCACCTTGCTAGGTCTGATTTTCCTTACTTGTCAAATGAGTATTTGAACTCTATGACTTCTATGTTGTCTCTGCCCTGGTATCTTGTGTATCTATGTCTGAAATTAATCTTGTTTTAATTTTGTTGATATAATATTTTGATTCTTTTCTACCTAAAACCAACTATTTTTGTAAGCCGAATGTTAACTTCTCTCCTAAATCAACTGTTACCTTTATTTTGAGTAAGATATCTCATAAAATCTAAAACTGTAATCCCATTCAAAGTCCAGAAGTATTACTTAGGACCTACTTCTCTCTTTTGTCTTGATAGAATGAATTTATATGATGTCATTTCAAATAAGAAATAAAAATTAGAAATAGAAGGACACAAACAATGTTTGGGGAGATAGAGTAATCCAAAAGTCAGTAAACAATTTGAATAAAAATGTTATTAAATCAAAGAGGAAATAGTTTGGAAAAGATTTTCCTGGAATTACACAATCTCCTTGTCTCTCAAAAATATGTCCATTTCCCTGTTAGAACATAAAAGAGTATAATTGATTATCATAACCTTGTAGCTCTTAATCATAATAAAACCTATTTAAATCACCTAATAAAATCAGGATATTTAGCCATTTGAGAGCAAATGCATTTAATATGAGATTTTTAACTTACAAGTGTAACCAGTAGAGTTCCTCAACCATCTTTCAAATTCACATGCAATAGATAGTCCCCAGTATGTGGTTATGAACATTCTTTCTTATAGATAATCACAATTCCCCCCTGGGAATGATGCCATTGTCTTTGAAAACCAAAGGGTGAAGTGACAGAGAAGACTGTGGCTTGGATGCAGCCACCAGCCATCAAAACCTGTAGATTCTGTATAATTTCCCCTAGAATGGACCAGGTCAGGAGATTAGTGGGCCAAGCCAGTAGCACAAGAAGGTCTTACACAAAGCCTTTCCCCCATGGTCCTCCTTGTTCCTGCAGGAAATCAGCTCCATTTCATAAGGCGAAAAGAGAGCAAAGAACTCAAAGAGGATGGAGAGAGAATGAGAAAGTCCACTGGTAATTATTCAGTGACTCCCCATTGCCCCCAGGTAATGTGTGAGTTCCTCCTGTGGACTCTTAAGGCTCCTACTTTCTGTGCCCAGCTGACATTGCAGCCTCACCCACACCACGGGGAATAGTAGGGGTGGAATCTGAGAGGTAACAGGGAGCCAGACCAGTCAGGACCTTGGCTTTGACTCCGAATGAGGTGAGAGCCATGATAGGTTCTGAGCAGAGTGATAGGACCTTTTTATTCTTACTCATTCTTTTCAAATACACCATATATTTCCAGCATACAGACACATTCACCCTGAGTGCCTTCTCCAAGCATCCCTGCCCATGGCAATCTCATTCTACCTCATTGCCCATCTCCAAGGCCCCTCCTACATGAAGCCACCTTGATTCTTCCAGAAGGTGTGACTATCCCTCCAGCTCTAATCTTACAAACACCCAAAGTACTGACTTAGGCCAGGGTTTTGCACTTTCTGCCTTATACTAAATATTAGGAGTTAGATGACAAATTAGATATGTCTTGCTTTGAGGCTCAGCTGTATCGCAAATCCTTCAGGCTTGGATTATATTTTATACAGCAAAACAATGCCGTTACTTCAACTGCAAGAAAAGCAAGGTGCCTCCACAGGCTCACCAACTCGGTCTCCAGGCCCTTGGCTATACAACAGCCAGCCACCTGCCAGCAGGTCCAACAGTTCAAGTTCATCCGCATTTCTAAAAACACGATGAGTGACGATAGTCAGGTTCAAAAAAGTTTAGACTTATTATCATCCAACCAATTTTTTCCAACTAAACTGCTTTGGACATAAACACCTATTGTTACCCCTTAGATGGAATTCTGCAGGAATTCATTTTCTCCACTACCCATTTTGGGACTTGGATTACACTGTCATCTTTGTTACCTTTATTTGCCACCTTTTTTTCTTCCCCCACTAAAATGTAAGTTCTTTAAGGATGGAGGCCTTACAGAATTATTTGTGGACCCCCCTGTCCTGTTACCCACAGACACTTGCTCAAAAAATATTGACAGATAGAATATTTGCATGGCTCTTCCAGGTCTTCACCCAGCCTTCAATTGCAAATGAAATACAGACAATGAGAGACCAAAGGTAACTTTCTGCCTCTGTTGTAACAGGATTTTGTGCCACTGTATCAAAACTTTGAGAATTTTTACACACGGAACCTTTACATGAGAATCAGAGACAATTGGAACCGGCCCATCTGCAGTGCCCCAGGGGCTCTGTTTGACGTGATGGAGAGGGTGTCGGACGACTACAACTGGACATTTAGGTGAGGCAGCCACCTGGAGGGGCTTGGTTGAAAGAAAATCCTTTCAAAGAAGTCTTAGTGTGGGCACCAGATTACCGATCTGAAAAAACCAAAGTATGGAAGCACCTGGTCTTCCATGATTCACCTCTTTGCAAGCTCTCATCATGCCAATGGGGGAAGTCACACTAATTAAGTTGCCAAGCGTGGCTTGTTTATATTGCAATTAAAGCAAGACCTGTGTCAGAAGGTGCAAGATACCCAGAGCCAGCGAAGAAGAACCCTTTTCAGCTTTATTGACAAATTACACTCTCCTACCTTTTGCGGAAGGAGATAGTGATGACTGTGCCTCTTTCTCATTTAGAAAGGTCTTGCTAGAATTTAAACCAGAACACAGGTGTCATGAAAGCAAGCACCCAAGGAAAATTAGGACTAGGTAATACTCCATGGCTCAAGATGTGTTTTTCCAATGCTCTCCTCAGCTTCAGTATGGGGTTACTTTCCTCTAAGGACAAACTGTTTTATGGTAACAACAATGCAAGTCAAAAAGAAAAAAGAAAATATATGATTTGGGCTAGACCCAAGATCTCTTTGTGAGAGTCTTTTATGAGGCACTGGGACAATATTAAATGAGAAAGCCCTTTGTGCTCACCTCCCCTTCTCACTGCAGGTATACTGGAAGAATCATTGAAGATGTCATCAACATGGGCTCCTATAACTTCCTTGGTATGGCAGCCAGATACGATGAATCTATGAGGACAGTAAAGGAAGTCTTAGAGGCATATGGTGTAGGTGTGGCCAGCACCAGACATGAAATGGGTATGTATATTCATTACTTTGAAATTTTGTCCCGTTAGGTCTCAGATTCCTTGTGGCTACCTCTCAAATCTACAGCATATCTAGACCGTGTGCCTCAAAAAGCTGCCATAAAAATGCAAAAAGAAAAAGGTATATGAAGTTTCTTTTTGGAAATTTTAAGAATTATGCTGTTGCCAGGCAGTTGATTAATTACAGATTTTAATTCTCCAGAATGAATCTTTCCTGACCATATTATCTAAAATCACAACTATTGTGCCTCCCTCATCGGGTCCTTTTCTGGGTCCTTTCTCCCACTTTTATTTTTTTTTAACAGCTTCGTTGAGATATAATTGATATCCCAAAAAACTATACTTATTTAATGTATTCAATTTGATGAGTTTGGACATATGCATACACCATGAAACCATCATCATAATGAAGTAATAAACGTATCCATCACCTCAGAAAATTTCTTTGTGTCCCTCCTTTTTGTGGTAAGAACACTTAGCATGAGATCTACCCTTTTAACAATTTTTTTAGTGCACAATACAGTATTGTTAACTATAGGCACTATGTTAGCAGATCTCTAGAACTTATTCATCTTGCATAACCGAAACTTTATACACAGTGACCAACAACTTCTCATTTGGATTTGGCTCTTTTCTCAATGATGTCCATCACTGATCTTGCTTTTGTGTATATTGCCCATCTTTCCTACTAAAACATAAGCTTCATGAAGGGAGGAATTGGCCTTGTTGACTGTTGTGTTGACTGACTGAATGAATGACTGAATGATGAATGAATGAATGGGTAAGGTGGAACAGACTGCCTGTTTCTCTTTTAGCTGAAACATTTCTCTTTTATTCAGAGGAGTGAAATCTGTGAGAAGGAAACTTCTGCTCTTCTCCACTTCAGGGAGAAGGGGGTGATGCAAGCTTCTCCAGTAGAGTGCTTTGCTATTCCTGACACATTTTTTTCTTATATATCATCTCATTTATTTCTCACAAAAATCCTGCACTGTAGTAGGCAGTACAGGTGGTGTTATTCCCGTCTTCTAGAGGAGAACACTAAGGATCATGGTGAGTAAGTGATGTGACCTCAGTGGCTTATTAACCGTCCTAACTCCCAGTCCAGCACAGCTTTCTCTACTATAGCAGTTTCTCATCCAGGATATTATGTACAGGGTTCACCAGGTTAGTTTCAGGCCTGTCTAAGAATCAGAGGTAAATCTGCTTAAAAAGGATTTACTATTAATGAAAAATGAGCCACATGCCCCTCTTAGATAACCAGTTGGCAGAAGGGCTTTAAAACTATGTAATTACAGTCATGCACTGCATAACGATGTTTTGGTCAACAACAAACTGCATGTACGACAGTGGTCCCATAAGATTACTACCATATAGCCCAGGTGTGTAGTAGGCTATACCAACTAGGTTTATGTAAGTACACTCCATGATGTTTGCACAACAACAAAATTGCCTAACGATGCATTTCTTAGAACATATCCCCATCGTTAAATGACACGAGTGTATTCAGATCTGTACAACAAATAACAATTCAAATTGAACAGAATAACTTTTTTACACACATATTCAGTAAATACTTAGCTAAAGCTCCAGAGTTTATAAGTGGTTGCCCAGATTTCTTAAGAAAGACATCTTACTTATCTTTATTTTGAGGCATAAGGGCTGGAGACAAAAGCAGAGTATGAAAGGAAGGTTCTACTCCACCTAGGAGAACTAGGTCGCCCACAATGCCCCTTTTGCAGATGAAGCAGAGACTGGAAGAATACTGCCAGTCATGAGAGCCATAGAGTCAGTAACCTGTGGAGATGTTTCCTCTGCTGCTGGTGACACCCAACACCAGGACTGTTAATGAACCAGACAGAAAATACATTCCAGAAGATGATGACCCCTCAACTTGCCGAGACAAAACACTCCCCAGTCACAGACAGCAGAAGCTGGAGGGAGGCAACTTGACATAGCCAATGGTTTGCCTCCAGTGGAAGCTACAAATGGAATATGGCTCCCTGACTCTAAGGCTCAAAAGACCCAGGGAAACAAGACAGAGATGAAAATCCCAGTTTGGACTGCCTGCAGCCTAAGTTCTTTCTCCATCTACTCATCCTTCTGAATTGCTGGACTTGTAATATTTACCTGTTTCTTTGAGCTCTCCAGCTCAAGCTCTAGGAAGAAGATTTTAAGAGGTTTCAAGTAAACAATGAGAGAGCAAAATAGAAGCCACCCACTTCTATTTTAGGCAAATAGAAGGACTGAAAACAAGGATATAAGCAGTCAACAAATATATAAATAAACAGGATTCATTTGAAAGTATTCTGCAACATAAATAGTAACCTTAACATAGTATACAAGAATTAATAGCATAATTTTGAATGACTTTTATTTCAAGAAATACAAGTAACTTTTGAAAACATGCTATATAGTCTTAAGAAAGTGTTTAGGCCAGCCTGGTGGCATAGTGATTAAGTTCATGTGCTCCGCTTTGGCGGCCTGGGGTTCGCAGGTTCAGATCCCAGGTGCAGACCTATGCACGGCTTATCAAGCCATGCTGTGGCTGTGTCCCACATACAAAATGGAGGAAGATGGGCACGGATGTTAGCTCAGGGCTAATCTTCCTCAGCAAAAAGAGGAAGATTGGCAAGGGATGTTAGCCCAGAGCCAGTCTTCCTCACCAAAAAAAAATAAGAAAGAAAATGTTTAACAATGCCAATGGATTAACAGCGAAAACTTGGGAATATGAAGGCTTAACAATTTTTAGTAACCAAAATAGCTTCTTGAGGAACCAAAGGAAAAGTTTAAGAATGTTTAATCACTTAAAAGTACTTCCCAGAGCTTTTTAAAAATAATTTCCAATGTTCTAGGGAGAAAAGAACACAGAAATCATATTACAAAATAGCGAAATTAAACAAAAAAGAAATCAAGTGGAAGCATTTAAAACATAGTAAAAGAAGAGAAGATCACACATATTATTTTGATGAAAAGTATGCAACTAGGACATATTTGACTACTGAAAGAAAAACATTATTTGGCCAAAAACCTAAACTCAACTATGCGTTGTAATCAGAAATAAATAAAACTAAATTAAAGTTGTTTCAAAGGGCGAAAAGTAGAAAGATAGGTCCCAGCCAGGCACCTAGTTCCTGCCTCCCTGCTGCAACCACCACCAACATATCCTCCTGCCCAAGAGGGAGGTCGATCCGGTGAGGGAGCAGCACAGACTGAGCCCAAGAGTAAGGCCTTTAGCCAAATCTGCACCTGCAAATGTTAAAATAAGCCCAAAATACAGGTGGAGATGATACATTTCCAGACAGATATGTACAGAATTGCAAATGTGGTCTTTAAGATGTGAAATGATGTGCTGCTGTTTATATTCATGTATAACTAAAAAATAGTGGAATTCAGAATTAAGGGAGGCTCTGACTCTCTTGCGGGTCAGTTTAACATTCCACAGGCTGAGGAGGTGGGAGGATTGTACATTTTTTATATCCTAAATATGAGTGAAATGGCAGTTTTGAGACATAATCAAGCATTTAAAATGTCTGACACATTTTAAACTCATATCTTCTATAATCATGTTGTTTTTTGTTAGAATGCTCCTGATTTGGGCTGTCTCCTTCAAATTGTGTGCCATATGTGATATCTTTGGTAATTACAGCCTAGTTTTTCCTGATAACTTTGTTAATGTGCTGTGAAAGACTAGAAATTTTTGAGTTTCAGTGTGTGTGATATTACGTTGTGAATTAGTGAACTCTAGACTGAACAGCTTATCAAAAGTCGGAGAGACTGGAACTCCATATCCTCTTTTTAAGGTGGCTTGCCTCCAAATTTTTAGCTGGAAAGTTGCTAGGATAACTGTTTGCAAACAGATTTTGCAACTACATGGATTTTTAGATTTTCAGCATTGGGATTGAGAATTGTGTGCAAATTGTTCATAATGTCTGAGTACTAACATCAAACAATAACCAGTAATATCTTCATTATGCAAGATATTTCCACGTTTGATCTTTGAATTTCTTTATCTGAAATAACTATTTAATTTTTCCGAACGTGGAAGATGTGTGTTTGAATGTGTTGATTTAACAGTGGAAGACATGGTGCAGCGAACCCTGAGGCAAAGTAAATGCATAATTGCTTGTGTTCCTTTCCTGTGAATTAAGCCTCAAGGAAAGAATAAGCTGAAACTTCAAAAATAAATGAAAAAACAACTTAAATATGTGGTGCAAATGTGAACAAAAAGGAAAGCAGAAGTTAAGCTTAAGTTATGAATCATTAAAGGTAATAAGAGATTCACCTTAGAAAAATTATGCGGCGTGCCCATGATGAAGAAGATATAAGTCCCATATCCCTGTGTATTAAGCAACACAGCAGAGACATATATGGCTGTTTATTTTTCTGTACAACTGGAAATTAGTAGGACAATGAATTATGGGAGGCTTTAAAATCATGTGGGTCAATTTAACATTCCACAGGCTGATTAGAAACAAAAGCAAGAAAAATAAAAAATGAAATAGTGATAGGAGACCATAGGAAATAGTGATACAAGACCTTGAAAAACAAAGAAGGCAAAAGAAGAAACAAATAAAGACACAGAGGACATTAAGAGTGTCCTTAATTTTATATATTGAATGCTGAAACTTAAAACATATTGCCAATATACTTTATCTTTTTAAATAGCTACTAAATTATCACAAAAATTTACTATATATTATGCCACAAAAAAAGTCATTAAATTCCCAAAAGTGGAATCTACATAGGTCACGTTCTTGGATCACAGGGAAATAAAGCTAAAAATTAATAACAAAATTAAAAACAAACGCTTTTTTTAAAAATCAGTTGAGTATTTTAAAGCCCTCTCCTAAGTGATTCTTGAATCAAAAAGAAAATGAAATTATAGTTAGGTCATATTTAGAAACTAACAATTATGAGAACACCATAGGATCTAGCTAGGTGTGTATGCAGAGGAAAAAGTATATTCTTACTTTACTAAAGAAGAAAGATTGA